TGTGTTGTTGGAGATGATTCATTTGAAGTTGCCAACATGATTGTCAGCAAAGATCCACTGTCTGTCTGTGCTGTTATTGGAGATTATTCGTTTTAAGTTGAGAACATTTTTTTTTTTAGCATGCTGGGTGGGAAGGAAAAAGCCACCTCATCTCTTGGATTTGAACAGTGTGGAGACAGTCGCATCTCTACTCTCTAAAAATTGAAATCTGTGGGTTTTTGTAAGAAATTTTTCCTGGAAGTAGGCTTGAGAAAAATAGGGTTTTAGTTTTCTCTGATTGGTCAAGTATTTCGTGTGGTAATGTTAATTTCTAACTAATAGACACTTTGTTTTAAATGGTGATTTTGTGGAATCTTTTTGGCATGTTTGTAATATTGACTGTTATTGGGTAGAAAATAAAGTTTGGGTGTGTTTTAATATGGTATATATGTGGGTATGTAATTCTATTGGAAATAGTGTTTATTTCTTATAATACATTGTTTCAAGAAGCAAAAAAACCCCCCAAAACTTGACCTTCCAGTTCGTAAAAAAAACTCTATCTCCCAATTTATAACTAGTCTTCTTCTAGTTAACTTGTTGCTCTTTTACCAAGTCTGCCAGTTTTTAACCAATTCTTCTTGTAAATAAATTGTTGAGCTTTCTCTACTAAAGGAGGAATAGAGTGAAAGTACTTCCTACTCAGTATATGTATGTTTTGAAAACTTTCACCATTTTGGGCCATGATTCTTTTACATTTATATGTGGCATCTCTTGGTCTTGAGAGACCCTGGATCTGTGCCCAAAGAGTTATGCTTCAGCTGCTGATGATGTCACAGAATCTGTTATGACTGTACAGGCCTATGTGAGAATGACAGTCTCAGTTGCAAGAAATGCATGTGAAGAGGTTTCCCTCAATGTCGCCATGTTGTTTTCTTTTCATTGAGCACACTTCACCCCTTTTGAGGTGGATAGTAGCTATCCAATGAGGTGTTTTGCTCCATGTCAATCAAGTGTTGCTTCTCATGTTTTGCCGTGGCAATGAGGCAACACTAGAGTGTCCACTCCAGGGCACAGGCCTGAGCAGTGTTTGATAAGAGACTGGTGGTTGCCCATGCAACACATTTCTCCTTTCCACAGGAAAGTAGAGGCCAATACAGCTTGGCACTGGTGTCATAACAGGAATTGCCAGAATGAAGTTGAACATAACATTGGACTATCTTAGGAACTCTAGCTCCAGATTTGTCCTTAGGGTTTACTTCTAAAGCTTTTCCCATGATTGGGTATGGCCGCAAGGCAGCAGACATTTAAAATCAGTTTTCCTTCTCTTCAGTTAAATTATTTTGGAGATAACATTTTTTGATAACTGATTTATAGAATCAGGATTTGTTTACAAGTGTAACATTGGCTTGAAATGGGTTAATGTTGGTCCAAAATCATGTCTCCATTAGAAATAAGTACTGTTAATTTGAATAATGATGTTTTAGAGTTAGCATTTTGGGGCTGTTTTGGAAATCACTGTTCTCCTGTTTTTGGCAAAATCTGCCTATTTTTCTGAAGTTATAGGTCTAAATCTCCACGTTTTAAGATTTTTAAGTTGACGGGTCTGTTTTCATCAAGCCCAACCAATGTTTCCACCTCCCACCTCTTCCTCCTCAGTGCCATTAGACTCACTGTAGAGCATAGGGGCACAACCTCATCACACTTGGTGTTACAGGAATAGTCATGGACTACAATTTTTTTGTTAAAATTGCTTTTTGTAAGAAAATTTAGATATGTTTGTTTTTTTTTTTGTCGTTTTCTAAAATTCACTCAATACAAAGCTCAGTGGCTACTTAAGGTAGAAGGTTACTGAATGAGACATGTAATATGAATGTAAGAATGGAAGTGACATTTATGAGGATAAGGAATATAGATCATGATTGACCCTTGACTTCAAGAGGGCAAGATTGTAGTTTTCATGGAAACAACTATGTGGGAGTTTGTTTCACAAAGTATCAGTTCTTGGAAAAAAGCTGTCTGAGTGGGATTTTCTCCTTATATTTAGGAGATGCATGAAATGAGGTTGATTCAACTTTGTGGAATTAGCGTGGTATGTGGGGGCTGTAAAGGTCTGAACTGGTGGAACTAAAGAATGGCAAGCTCATCTGAACATTTGCGATAGAAATAGTGATAGAGCAGAAATAGGCTTGCAATGTTGCTTCTGTGGAGAAAGAGGCTGCAGGGTGAAGAATAAGTCATCTCCTACAAGACCCACATAAGCAATTTTGAACTCTATTAAGGCTTAACCAACACCTTTATGCACTGTGCCATGTGTCCTTGAGGCAGTGGATAAAGGCGTTGGTTAGATCCAGCGACAGGACCCAAAGAGCGTGAGTTCAACTTTGAATGTTTTTCCTTAATGACATGTCCATTGCTATTTTCTGAGTGTTAACAACAGTTATTAAAAAAAAAGATTCACATTAAATGTTAATACCCTTAAGTGCTAAATTGTATATAACAAAATTCTTTTGATACACTGTTCATATAATCTGTGTATAGTTTTAAGTAGGTTTGCCATATATCTTGGGTTGAGGAATTTGTATTGGTGTCCCACCAGAGATAAGCTATTAGTATCTATCTATATATAAGATTCTGTAATTTCCATTAGTCCATCTGTCTGTTACACCCTCTAAAATAGCCATACATTGACTGATCAAAACTAAATTTTGAGGAGAAGTGCAAACAGGTAAGGGGGTACAAAGTATTGTTGGCTTTACTAAGGTGTGTAGCTTAGTAAAATAAATTTTCATTTATTTTTTTGGAAAATTTAAGTCTTATTATTTAGCATACAAAATAAGTTCACCACAGCATCATTCTTTTTCCCAATAAAACACTGGGGACAGACATCAAATGACAACTGCAGCTGCAAATGTCAGTCAGACAGCCCTCCCTATACACACCTTTCAACAAAAGGAGATTGACCTTCATAAGGCATTTCCTAAGCCACTTTTATTTTACTTAGTTTGGGCAATATAATTAACAAGGCCAAATGCTTCAAAAAGTTGAAATTTGGCTCCAGAAATGCATGGCCAGTTGTATATTGCATGCTCAAGAGTAAGAAATCCTAAGAATTTATTCTTTGATGTTAAAAAGGACAAAAAGAAATTTTCTTAAATAATATTGTTTACCATGAAGTCCTATAAAATTAAATTAAAGAAATTATTAAACTGCGAAGTAGGGTTTTTATCAAAGTATTCTTCCAAACAAATCAGCTTATTCAAATTTCATTGATTGGTTTGCTAAATTGAATTAAACATAGTTTGTAAATCTCAGCAAAAAATGTTAGTGATAACTTCAACAATACTAAATACTGTGAGGATTCCAACATGTGTCAGTGTGTTGCAAAATTTCTAGTTATTTATTATTTTTTTGTGTGTGATTTCTGATACTTTGTTATACAAGAATTTAAACCTATCAAAAAATAATAACACCTGTCCTAATTTGAGGTATATAAATTATGGTATGCCTAGATGTATCTATTTTAATAAAGAAATATTTTTCACTTCTAAATTCTTATTTACCATATAATAAAAGACTAGGAACATGTAAAGAGCTTAATGATTATTATCACAAAAAGTGGAATTGCTGAGCTAAGTTTAAACTGTTACATTTATTTTTGCATTACTGACCTCAGGGAAAGGCATGAATACATATCTTCTCCTCCCCAGCTATGAGTTTGCAGTGTTTGTGAAGAAAAAATTTAAAAATCTATATAAATTAAGGTTTGTTAAAACAAACAAAATAAACAGATTCAGATTATAGCAGACCCATTATTAGAACATATTCTATTAATTAATCAATTTCAGACAAAATCAAAACATACTATAAAAACCACTTTTTATTGCAAATTATTAATAAAATATGATATTCCTGCTGAGTGGGTACAAATTAAAATAAAATTTTATTAACGTATGATTTTACGGAGAAAGATTAAAATTACACAGCATTTAAAATGTAATTATTAATTTGTAAAATTTCAGCTATAATCATTAAGTTATTAGGTTTTATACTCTTCAAGTAACATAGATTCAAATTGAGCTGACCATTTCTCTGTTAAATATTTGCATGCACTTATGTATCTACTATGTCAATGTGCGGGGCATAAAGGAAAACATCAAATAGCCTGAATGACAGTTGAGTACTAGACTAGTAGCAGTTGGATTAAGAGTTCAAGTCAAAGTAGCAAAAGGTGGCATTAGAAACCTTCCTGTGTCTCATCTATTTTCTGTCTTATGAAACTGTCTTCATAAGAAGAAACTGGACCGATTAATGAAAAAAAAAAAAAATTTTTTTTTTTTAAACACCTTTAACAATCTCTGGAATATAAAATTTTGGATTTACTCTTTACCTGCTTTCTTCATTTCCATTCCTTTTTTTTTATGGATGAGTTGAATATTTTAGATGGTCAAATTTCCACCCACTCAACCTTCTACAGGTTAAATAGCAGAGTAGATGGGGGGCTTTTTGTCTTGAGTTGCAGCTAATTTAGGAAAAGGGTGGTTCAGAATTCAAAAGTAATGGGAAGACAATGCAAAACCACTCCACTATTTTTTCCAAGAAATAATTGCCATTCCACAAGGAAAAGAATCTGTATAGAGCCATTATTGCCTGTGAAAAAAAGTAATACTGAATCAAATATTATCAGAAAAAATTCAAATTTGGCTCTAACTTTTAAATCAGCAATTTATCCTTTTATAGATGGATTAGTTTTTTTGTTTATATGATTATAATTTTTGCTGTGTAAATCAACAGTAAAAGTACTAATTACAAACTCAAATTTTCAAAATATATTTGTGTATTATTTTAAGGATCAAAGTACGTGGCTATAAATTGTATTTATTAAAAGTTTACATAATTTTAAAACTCAAAACTTTTAATAATGGAACCTTACAGGAACATAGCTATATTCTGGAAAAAGTTGCCCGAGTCGGAAGTGACGTCATCGTCAAATTGCATTTCCTAAGCGACCCGTGAGGTACAAGATGGCGACATCATTGGAGCAGTATGTCGGTACTGTTACACACTTGTCTGAACAAGGTTAAGATAGCGACAATTTTCTCCTTTCTTTTCTCTTGAATTTATTATATATTCTTGTAATCAGTTAATATTTGTATGAAGCGATCGAACAATATAAGATGTCGACACGCACAATCTTTAATTTCTGTCTGACTAAAAATGATGACCCGCCGATTAAAAAACATAATCTATTTACAAAAAGAAAACAAAACAATTTTTTAATGTTAATAGTTTAATTAAGTTACACATATTTTTGGTTTAGAAAATAGTCCTTTTTCAATCTTGTTTACTTTCATTTAAGGTATCGACGTATTCTATTTGTTACTCGATCTTTCTTTTACTGATCGTCCTTTCTGTGTGCTTTCTCTTTCAGAAAGTAGATTTTAAGGGTTAATGAAACTTTGTTTAAATAAAATAAAAAAACCCAATTATTTCCAAATTTTTAGTAGTCTTTTTTAATACAGTCAATTTCAATTTATATCACAATTTCTTAATTAAAGGATTAAATGTCATATTGAGATTAGCATTTTCGGTTAGTTCCTCCTTCAACAGTTTTTGTTGTTTTGTCATTTCTTTTTGCTTTGCTTTTTTTTTTTTTTTTTTTAGAGAAACTTGTTTTAAAAAAATTCAAAAAAAAGATTCTGTTTTGAAAGGTTATTTTTTTTTAATGAGTTTGTAACTATAAAACTTAAAATCTATCAAAATATTGCACGAAGCAGCTTCTTACTTGCTACTGCTACTAACTATAGTATTAGATCACAGAAAGAAAAAAAAAACGAATTATGCAAAAACTGTTATTAACTAACAATTGGAAATGATATCACGTTTTTTTTTTCTCTGGAAAACAAGTTCTCTACTGTTTTTTATTCTTACTGTTGACAGCATAAAAATATTATTATCTACCATTTATGGCCGAAAAAGACAATTCTTAAATATCCGTATGAACAGTCATCAATTTTTTAAGAATCTTGATGTTCGTAGGTATATTTTGCTACAGTCAAGATCAAATAATATGATCTATAATTACTTATGTAATCATGAATGTATTTTTTTATATTTCTTATTTTAAAAATTGCTGTTACCTAGATTTTGTATTCGGTTATTTCAATCAGTAAGGAAAATCTTTCTCATGTAATTTTCAGATTTTTGTTTTGACACTTTCAAATTTCAATCACAGGCATTTTCTTTCTTTTTTTTTCCCCCCTTTTTTAATTTAATTTATTTTATCTTGTTTTATTTTCTTGAGAGTGTGATAGCAACACAGTTTTTATCTTAAAAAAATTGAAAAACAAGATTAATTCATTTTTTGAAATAGTTTTGTTTTTCAGGACTTTATGGTTTAAAGTTTTGCTGTTACCAGTTTTTTTTGTTGTTTTTTTTTTAATGCAGTTTGGTCGAAACAAATCCCAATTGAATACCTACCTTTCTATATTCTTAGTAGTTTCTAGAAATTATGAAATTCAAATTTCACAGTTAGACATTTTTTAATACCAGCTTTTGATTATTGGTTATTATTTAGCTATTATTTCTGTAACTTGTGATATCACAGGTGGGATTTTAAAAATAAATTAAATAATCCTTTCAGCTTTCATAAGTCATTATGAAAGTGTTTTATTTTTTGTTCTATGTCGGTTTCATCATTTTCAAATCATGTTCTCACATCTCATGTCGGATTCATCTTTTGCAAATAAGCATATCTTTTATTTTGAGGAAAAGATGTTTTATGATCCTGTATGTAAATTTAACAAAGAGGATGACAAAATTAGTGCATTTTTGTTTTAATAAATTGCTTTCTCTTATTCAGAAGTGCATTCTTGAAGTTGAAATCCTGGCCAAACCTGTTATGATGGAGAACTAATGTATGAATATGCTGTTTTGTTTAAAATCCTTCATCTGTTCATATAATCTTTTTAGAAATGTAAATAAAAGATTATAAGAACTTAAGAGGGATCTTTTACAAAACACTCAATACATTAGTTGTTCATATTAGGTCTGACCATAATTTCATATTTAAAGAAAGCAGTTTTGATTAAAATAAAAATTTCTTATGGTGAAAATGCATAGAAAGTGCACTGATTCTATAGTGCATTTATGGCCATGATCATACAACATATTTTTTTTCTTCTCAAAATTATGATGAATACAACTTGAGATAATTAAAATTATAATATTGTATATGAATTGGTGATAATGTTTACTTATATTAAAAAAAATGCTAGTATTGTTAGTATTATTGAATGTTAAATTTTGATAGTTCATGGTTTGTATAAAATGTTGATCTATATACATACTCATCTGTATTCATCACCATAAATTGGGTCAGGTTCTGTATCCCACTGATTACTAAAGTGTAAAAATTTGAGCTTCGATTCCTGAAATTTAAAAAAATCTTTTAATTATTTTTTTTTCTAGAATGATCCAAAGGTCAAATTTCTATTTTGCATTTAAAGCATTTTGTATTAATGTTTGAATGATGCTCTTGTAGTAACCATTGCATTTTTAAGAAATTTTTGTTCATTTTATGATAGTTACTCCTAATCCCTTCTGATTCTGTTCACATATACATGTACTGATGCGGCATTCACCCTGGGCAGATTGAGCCGGCTTCTTCCTGTTATGAGAAGAAGATTCTTGGGAAGATTCTGTTCATATGACAAATATTGATTGTATAGTAGTACAGGTTGAACATTTTTGCCAATAATAGATAGCAGATAAATGGCAGTTTGGCAAAATTATATCTGACATAAAAGTGCATGCAAATGTAGTATGTCTCTCACCACAGATTATGCCCAAATAAAATTTGAACTAGAGAAGCCAGGTGCTGAGTTTACCCCTTAGCTACCAAGTGCTGACCCATGTGGTTGACCCAGTTGCACCTGTGGATCACACGTGGGAGAGAACTGTGTGACACATATAGATGCATAAACACCCACCCTAGCAGTATAAGACAGTCACTTACATTGCACATGAGAAATCTAGAGATGTTGAGTGCATGTTCAGATGAAGGCTCTGGGGCCCACGCACACTGTCCAACAGAAATGACAAACTCCAGAGTGAAATGAAGTATAATGTTATGTATGAGCAATTAAATCTTGTGCTATCATTAACCAGTACAGCAGTGCTATTGTACAAAGCAGAAGTATGTCTTGGAAGTGGGTTCTTGTATCAAAATCCAAGATGTTATGGTGTTCAGTACTGATATGGTGTCTATTAAAATTTTGGGAGTATTTTGGTACCTGTGTGCTGAAATTTAATTTTTGTTTTTTTGTCAATCAGAATAAAGGAAATAAATTCAAAATAAACAATAAAATCAGAAAGGTAAGGTTTTCCTTGTGGAAGGGTGTAACCAATACTCAGGGAGTGGTGGGAAGGTAGGTGGTACCATAACAAGCACCATACTGTGGGAGACACAATTGTTTTAAAACAGCTTTAAGGATTGTTGCAATTGTAACCATATGCATACCTGTATTTGCATTACTTGAAACAGACAGAAAACTGATGCCCACTGTAATGGTGAAACAAAGTGAGATACACTGTATATTTTTTTTTTATTTAAGATTAAAGAACTCATAAAAGTTGCAGAGACAAAACATTGAATGGGGCAAGATTTCAGTTCTTAACTGCATCAGTTTTTGTTATTATATCTCTTCATGCCAGCAACTGTAATGTTTTCCCTCTAAAGTTCTGGAACTGCATTTCCTGTTTTACACATCTTTTTTTTAATACTCATTACACATTTTCATACATGAAAATATTCCATGATCATAGTCCATGCTGATTCCACATTAATTGATCCTTCTAGAATTTTATATTAAGTAAGTTTATACTTTTGAATTAGAAAAAGAATATTGAAAATAATATCTAAAACTGATCTTGTGATACAAGTACCACATTTTCACCAGGTCTTACAAAACCCACAGAAAATTAATTTGATGAAAGTACCTTTCGTGAAGTGGTGGAAAAGGTAAAAAAAAAAGACCCACCATGCCAGGTACTTTTTAATTTTCTGATCCGAGAACTTGATCAAAAAAGTGGGCATCAGGAAATTGATACATAGGTACTTGGTCAAAATAAGTGAAACAACATTTGGTACCACCATCTTAGTACCCAGGTACTTAGTGAAATTTCAGAACTAATACTACCCACCAGCCATGAGTTTGCTACCTTATTTGGTACCACACTGATTATAAGCTTATTTGCTTGAAGAGTTGTCTTAAGTACACCAGCTGCATGATTCATCCTCATAACACAGGCATATTGGACATGAGAAAATAACTAATTAAAAATATAAGTGATGTCTTGGTAAAATAGACCCCAAATATTTTTAGTACAGGTGATTGAAAATAGCAAATTTCCATACAGTGTGCTAGCATCATGAAATTTCTTCAAAAGTATTAGGATTTTGGTAACAATCCCCAACCCCCAGGATTTGACATGAAAATTTGAGAGGAAAAAATTGCACCCATTGGCATTTATGCAGACCAAACAATGTATGTGAGCACAGTTTGGTAGGTAATATATTTTTGCAGTGTGCGTGTGTGACTAGCCATGTCCCTGGCAGCTTTGCACAGAAATGCAGTCTCTGTGCAGTGGTGAAAATGAGTAGTTAATTGTGATAACTCTGGGCAGGGGGGAAAAAGTGTTTTGTAGTTAAGTATTGACTCTTGAAAATAATCCCATTTTTTTTTTTTTTTTTTTTTTTTTTTTTAATTAATGGTTATATCTGGATGTGCAGCTAGTGTGGTGGTTATCAGCACAGAAAGTAAAATTGGTGAACTAAAGTTCAAATTCTGGTGTAGACTATCACATTCACTTTTGCACCAATGACCTTGGAAAGACATGAATTTGTCTTTTCTCCATCAACTTGACTCTCTAGCCTTGAGTGGCAGTCAGTCTAAGAAAAGTGAAACCTGGTGAAGACAACAGGAAACCACACCCTTGTCTTTCCTAACAATGAATGGCAATTCACATATAATAAAGAAAAGGCATCTGGGGAAAGACATGATTGCCTACAGCCTGAAGAGACATGATATTAATAAAAGTTTGTGTATAAACAACTTTTATTAATATCATATATGCAAAAAGCATTTGTAGAAGTCATTGATTGTTGTTTTGAGTGACACTTAGTATATCTGTATTAACCTCAACAATACTGTTTGAGAGAAAGAGAGATAGACTGACTAACTTATGCTCACAACCATAAAGATATTTATTCTATTGATGTATTTATTTCAGGCAATTTCCTCAAACTGAGTGAGTTTATCAGCAAGAGTGCAGAATTTTTGGCAAAGAATGCCAGCCACTTAGACAATGTGATAGCCTCCTTGGACTGTCAGAAATATTCATTTGGAATACTGGGAATTCTGCAAGTATTTTCTAATTTTTTATTGAAATCATTTAGCCAGTATTTTCATTGATTGATTTTTTATTATTATACAAGTAGTTTTCAGTGGAGTCTATAAGTTTGTATTAAAATGGTTTATGAAATACAATGTCTTTCTTTCTCATTACAGGTGTGTAAAGTATAATTTAAGTAACATTCCAGATTTTGAAACATTGTATGTGCAAACTCAAGAATTTATTTTCAACTGCAATGGAGAACATGTCCGGAATGCAACTAGTAACTGTAAGTACTTGGGTTGAATGAAATTATTGAAGTGGTTTTTAATTTAGTAACCTTAGTTCTTTTAGTACTTATAAAAATTGCAAAGGCAGTGTTTTTTTGTTTTTTTGCTGCTCATTTCTGAATGTACCTCTCTGCTCGGGTGCTTAGATAATCCCTGTTGCAGGTGCTCGCTCTGGCATATTTGTTAGTTCAATACCTACAGTGACAACCTGTGGTTTATGTTGGAACTATGCTGAGCAGATTTTAGTTACAGTTTCCGAGAGAAAGAGAGAGCAAGCACATAATCTTGCATGATCAACAGTTTTGAACAATGCCAGTAAGCTTAAACAGTCAGTCACGATTAGTTGTGACTTTGTGCTAGCACAACTGTCAACAGCTTATGAACAGTTTTGTCAACCCAGTTTTACTCACAAAGCTTAGGTCAACTTGTATGATTTTCAGGAACTTCCCAATTTTGTTACATGCTGGGATTGTCTCTCCTGTTCAGTATTATCAAGAAGTTACCTCCTTGACTAATTGACACTGGGGCAATTTGAATGCAGGTCTCATGGTCAGATCACGAACGCCCTAGCCACTTGGCCACAAAAATCGTTATCTAAAGATGTAATATTTGCTGAATAAAACAGATAAAATGTAAAATTTCCAACTGTAACAATTTTTGCCTGGTCATCAAAGAAACATTCTATATTATCCTGAGTGAATATTATACCCTTTTTTCTGCTGAACTATTTCTAAATTGTTGACTTCAATTGCTCTAATTGGGCTCTGCATTTGTTCAAATAGGTTTTCTCGAATGTGCACATACAAGAGAAAGTCCTTCTAATCCAACTATGTCTACATGATCATTTTGTTTAAATCGGAGGTTCTCGACTGGGGTCCTGCAAGTTAGCATCCCCTTTACTCTACCAGATGTTTTGATTGTAAATGTTGAATAAAAACTGAGAAGGATATATATATATATATATATATGTGTGTATGTATATATATATATATATATATATATATATATATATATATATATATATATGAAAAAAATAATAAATTATTATATAAATATTGATAAAATAAAATATTAATATATATTTATTAATATAGTAATAAAATTGATATTGTGAAAAGTGGGGGATCTTCAGATGTCATTGACATTTGACATCGATGGACCCAAATATAAAAAAAAACTTGCAAAGCAATATCAACCACAATGATCTCATTGAATAAATCTGCACTTTTTTTAAATTTATTAATTACTCGCATATTTTAAAATGGTTTATTATGAGTTGTTTTACTAGTGTACTTAAATGTTCCATAGAACTTAGTTGTTAAATACAAGTTTATATTCATTAAATTAGTTTTACTTCAAAATAAAGCATATACATTTACTATTTCTATAATACAATTCTTAAACTTATTTATTAGTAAACAATAAAATAAGCTTTTGTTTTCTCTTCATCAAATGTTTATGGAGGTCCAGCAAAATAAATTAAGAGTAAAAGTAGTCCATGGGTAAAAAAAAAAGTTGACAATTACTGGTCTAAAAGAAGAATGACTTTGGTATGGTTTGAGTTGAGGTGATTCATTTCACTTGTCCCACGAGCTCTTGCATTCAACATTGTTTTAAATAGTACCTAATTTTTATTCTTTGCTACACTGTTTAAAGGAGGAAACATTTTTGACACATTAGCAAATTGCACATAGAAAATAAAGTCTGGCAAGATTTTTTTTTTGTTTTATTATGTGGAAGCCACACATCAAAGCAATTAACATAACCAAGCTGCTGCAAATGACTTTTGGTGTTGGATTTTTTTAATATGTTGGCCATCTTTCCTGTGTTAGTTAAACTTTTATTATTTACAAGTAATGACTTGATTAGTAAAATGTGACACAGAAATCTGAAAGTGTATTGGAAGTGTGAAAAATGTTTTCCAGAAACTAAGCAAAGTGCTTAGAGGAAAATTTACTTAGAAACAAAGAAAAGGATACTGAACTGCTATGTCATATCTATCTATCCTCCTATCTGGCAGTTAATGCTTAACAATTTTTTTTGTAGATGAAGAAGAGGCTTGAAGGAACAGAAATGTGATTCTGCAGACAGATATTGAGAATAAAATGACCTGAGTAAATGAACAATGAGGAAGTTGTAAAGAAAATGGAAACAAAAAAGATATTCATAGTTAAAATCCAAAAGAGAGAAATGAAATTTCTGAGACACATTATGAGGAAAGAGTGCTTGAAAATTTAATACTCACAGGGAAGGAAGGTTAGAGGGAAACATCAAGTAAATTAGGTAATCAGTTTGTGAGAATGGAAGCAGAGACAAGCAAGAATAGTAAAGTGTCAAATATTGATTTGAACTACAAGGGATTAGAAGTTGTGGAGAGCCATGATCGTACATGTCTTGATGGGAAACAGTGCACATGAGGAAGGATGACTTGGAAAATTTAATACTCACAGAAGAAACTGAAAGATGAAGGTGCAGAAGGAAACAGTTTGTGAATGGATAGCAGGACAAAAACAGGGATGGTACAGTGGCAAATATTACTTAGGGCTACAAGGGACAGGAAGTGGTGGAGAGCCATGATCAATCACTGAGGGATAGAGAGTAACAGCAAGCTTCTTAGCTAAAGAGTTTGTGTGAATGGATAGCAGAGCAGGTATGGTGAAGTGTTTAATGTAGCATAGAGCTACAGAGGACAGGAAGTTGTGGAGAAGCAGGACTGCCAATGTCCTGAAGAGAGATAGCACATAAATGATGATGATCATGTTCAAATGGTCTCTATTAGTATAGAGTAGTTATTCAGTCCTGTCTGTGTAGAGTTGCATTTGAGGCGATGATGAGAGAAAGCCATCTCTGTCTGTCTGTCTGGATCTTCCAAAATTTTAAAACCTGCATGTTCCAGCATCCAACCGTAATCCATGCTTTTGATATCAGGAGGCCCATTATTGTGGTGGAGATATCTTTTCATCTTTGATCCCCACTTGTCACGGGTCCATATGTTACCTGCTTGCCTTATCTCCTATTGCCAATTGAGCCTTCTTTTTTTGGTCATTATTGTTTCTGTAAGGAGAGGTTTTATGGGATTGGGTTGCTATCCAATATGCCTAATCTTTCACCTTTCTCCTCCTGGACTTGGAAGCAGGTGATAACAGTTCTGTAGAGTAATAATGTTGCTTCTTTTCTATCATCTTCAGTGTTAGAATCAATTAAACAAAAACCTTAATTTTGACAAAAGATGCATGCTGACAAGTCACCTGTTACAGTATATTCAAAAGCTTTATTTTTGAATGAAGTTAACTATAAATGTTCCTAATGCCAGCAAAATGGTTGACACTGTATATAAACTTGAACCAAACAGTAGAAAGTGATTGATTTTTTTTTTTTTTAAAGTCATTTTTGCAGACAATTACATATGTGAAAATCCCTTTAGCATTCAAACTATCCCTGTAAATATCAGCTCTCAATGTTCAACCTGTACCCATAAGTATTGGCGCTAAATGTTCAGCCCATCCCATGTATACTCTGCCATTGAAAATAGTGCAGGAAGTCGCACAAACAGAGAGAAAATATTTATGGGGCAGGTTTGATAAAAGCTTTTACTGCAAAAGGTATTATTATATAAAATTTGACTTCTACATATCATAAAAGATGTGATTTGAAGTTTACTTTTAATGATTGTTAAAGCAATTCAAAACATTTGTAATTCAGCTGACATTTAGTAAATAATGATTTGTGAGCTGTTTTGACCATAAGCCTCATTTTCAAACTGCTGAATGTGCTGGAAGAAATTGATCTAAATATAATGGATATCATGTTTGTCTTTTATTTTGTCTTTCAGTTGCTGACCTTTGCCATAAATTTACTCAATACTTAATGGATACCAGACAAGTAAGTGGATGATATTAGATTTCATACCTTGCTTCAAAATTTTTTAATATTGTGAAGATGGATATTGAAAGATAGGATCTGTTGTCTTGGATGAAGCTGTGTGATGTTGTGAATTTGTTTCATGGAATTCAACTTTATGCTAAATGTTTTCTTTTATAGCAAACAAAAAGCTGACTGAAAACCTTAAGTTTTGTATTTTCAAATTATTATCTTGAAACCAACAACAAAATGACTTAACCCAAAATAATTGTGGAATTAGGATAATTTACACTGACAATATCTAAAGAGAGAAAAAAATACTGCATTTTTTTGGGGCAGGGTCAGTGATGAGGGAGCTAAAAGAAGTCTAATATGTTACTCTTTAAACTACTATTCTATTCTTGTGTAATAATTCTTATTGGCAGATATAGGTGAAATTATCATTATTTTTTTTCCTAGTAAATTTTTCAACTTGACAAACAGAACAGGAAAACTAGCTGAATCCCAGAATTCCACTACACAAATTGTTTTCTATCATTGCAAATTCTAGCAAATCTGTTTTGGAAATCTATAAATGACCAATTCCCTTCTGCTAGCACTGTTTTTATTAGAGCATAATTTTAATAAATTTTCTTCTTTTTAATTCATTAATGCCTACCATAAAATCTGATACTAATTATAAACATTTGCATAAAAGTCAGTATTAATTAAGGTTCTATAAGAAATCTGGTATTAAAGGTTAAAAAAAAATTCTCTTATCAAATATAAGTTTTATAAACCTCTAAGACATTAATGTAATAAAAATGGGACTGTAGGCTTTAATGCATTAATTTAATCCATTGATAATGCTTTTAGTGTCTCATGTTTCCCCTCTATAAAATCCTTAATTTTCTAAAATTATTCACTGCTTTTAAGTTAACTCTCATATTTTGAAAATAAATCAAAGACAGACACCTGCCTGATTTGTGTAATTGCTTTCAAAATGATGTTTTTTTTTTTTTTTTTTTTTTTTTTTTTTTTAACAGCGTAAGTTTTAGACTAAAAGAAATTGTAAAAACCTTTCACTTTCTTTTAAGAAGTTATATTTTTCTTTTTTGCTTCAATGATTTTCATTTTTTTGTTTGTTTTTGTTTTATCATTTAGCCTGCTCAAGCAATGCGAGGAATTCCTATTCTTATCAAAGCCATCAACAAAATCCAGCTGTTTCCTTCTCAGTTGACCTCCATCCATAGTGATCTCTGTAAGGTAAAATTTCAGATGTATACTTGTTTGAATATTGGGATAAGCATTTTACAAATCTCCTTTGACCAAGTCAGTAAAGACAGATAATTTTCTCTATAAACTTGTTTGTTTTGTAGCATGATTTGTTATTTTATCTTTATTTTATACTAGAATACAAAGTGAAACTCTGAGGTAGAATGTGGATGTCTGTACAATGCTATCAATATATTTGTTTTGCCCAAAGGTTTCTTCATAATTTTTGATCATTATTTGCATTTACAAAAGATTTGATACTTGGAGCTGTGTTGAAAACATGTTTCCAAAAGATGTATGTACTTAAATTTCATTATATTAAACCATAAGACCAAATTAAGATTATCAGTTTTAAGTTTTATTAAATTATAATTTTTTTTTTTTTTTTTTTTAGGAAAGCCAAAAATTTCTCTTGGTTTTCAATTTTTTTCTACACAGCTACAATTGATTTCAAATGGAAATCTAGTTATGGTTCCATGAAAATGTTTAACCTTTGTGCCTGCAAAAAAAAAAAAGAAACCAAAAAAACCTTGTCAAAATGATGGTTATTCCCTTGACACTGCTATTACTTTATACACTTTTGACTCCCTCGGCAATATTTATTATTTTAAAAAGTGATGATTAGAATCTTAATGAAACCCAAACACATGAAAGTGGATTTTTAGATTTTCTTTATTCTTGAGAATTAACAAATATATTAAATGCTATTTATTTATTAGATTGCTTGTACAAAAATAATTTTATATTTATAATCTTGTAAAAGTATGTGAACCAACTGTAATGAAATATTTATTATTTACTATTTTGTAAAGAAATAAATGTGAAAAGAAATTTCTTTATTCATAACTTTATAAAAATATCTGTACAATAAAATTTAAATACACCTATAATGAGGAATAACTAATTATAAATTTTTAAAAAATGCATTTTACAGGCATTTCTTTCATTTGTTCTTGCCATATATTTTTATACTCTTTTAAATATAAAATTATTCTTGTAAATAAACAATCTAATAGTGTTTAATCTTTCTTGTTAATTCTCAAGAATAAAGAAAATATATAAATTACTTTCATATGTTTGAGTTTTATTAAAATTCTAATCATTACTTTTTAAAACAAACTTTACCAAGGGAGTGAAAAGTGTAGTACTAATAGTATCAGTAATAATAGTATTACGAATATTTTAATGTAACTACTTGAATTGGTAGAATTTTTGAATAAAGTATGTATTTAGTAACTTTCGTTTTATTTTGTTTAATTTTATATTTTTCCCTTGTTTTGGCTAAGACTTAGTCAAATTTGAGTAGAGTTACTTATAACCAAAATAATTAAAAATAATATTTGAAAAATATTTTGCCTTTTATTAATTTTTATTTCAGTTTTGCAGATTTCATATTGGATTTCGTTCTCTGCAACCTTTAAAAGTTCTAAATGCTTCAGTTGTATTTAATTTTTAGTTTCTGCAAATTTACTCAAATTTCTTGTTAATGAATCAGGTTTGTAGTTCAAAGGTTGTAAAATATTTATTTTGAGACAATTTCTCTTTGAATTCCTTTGATGAGGATTTATAGTCCACATGTAAATAATAATTTGTCCTCATCTTTTTTGTTATTACAACATTTCAGCTGTTGTACCCTTCAGTATTTAGTTGTTTGTCAATCAGTATAACCTTCAGGGAATTTTGATCTGAACACTTTAATTAATCTATGGTGGGTAGTTGTTCTGCTGACCATGTCTAGGGATATCTTGTCTAGTTTTTATTTAGTACTTCTCAGTTACTGTTTGCCCTATTTACACTGTGAGTCCAAGTACACACTGCCTGATCTAGAGATTGAAGTTGCAATTACTGCCACCAAATTTATGAACTAATCCACTAGATTATTAATTGAGCAGTACTAAATGAGATATCCCTAGGCACGGTCAGCAGAACAAGAACAATCTGTCCCTGTAGATTAAATAAAGGGTTCAATTTGAAATTCTCTGAAGGTTAGCTGGATCAGTAACATCTGATGAAGGCCAAAGAGCAACAACAACTGAAATGTTCTTTGAGAGACATTACTTTTTCTTTCACTTTGAACTACATCAGCATCTCTGGTGCAGCCTGGCGACTGAACAAGAATACAAACCTCTTTACTCCTAAATTTAGGAAAATATAAGTTTGCCATTTAAAATTACTTACCATACAAATACCAACAGTTCCAAAGTGGAATGAAATTTAATGAAAGAATTAAAGATGTTTTAGCTTTGCCTGAGATCCCATCTTTTGTATTTTGGTTATAGGCAGTTTCCTTTCAATGAATCTTTAATGAAATCAGTGCTAAAAGTTGTTCTGATTTTTTTTATTTGACAGTTGTGCTTGCAATCAAAAAACCTTCAGCCAGCCTTGCAGTTCTTGAATGTAGATTTTGTAGACATAGGAAATGAGGTAAGAGTCTTTTAATCTTTTCTCACATTTTTCTGAAATCATTTTTCATCTGGTTTTCTTTATTGCAAATTTCTTTATTAGAATAATTACATATGAAATGTTGATAAGTGCCAAAATAACCAAATTACAAATAGAAACTACAATCTGTTGAATAAGATGTGGGCTTTTGAACCAAAACTTCATCATTTTATCTCCTATTTATGGAATTGCTGCCCTTACATTACAATTCATGGTAGGAAACTCAATGACAAAGTGGAAAAAATTTTCCATGTGACATTGTTTAGGATTTCATCAGACTAAAGTGATGTTGATGTGATACACATATGAACGAAGAAGAGGAGACATTGAAATTTTCATCTTTTAAATTTAATTTTTTTTTTTATTGTTTGGTCTCAGCAATTTCATTTAGTTTTTTCCTTTTTGTTTGTTTTTATCACTTTTGTTATTAAGTGTAGTGAAAATTGGAACGAAAATAATCATCCACCTGATCGAAAACAGCAGCGTATATGTTCTGCGTGTAAGGTTTATTTTTTTTTTTTTTGACTGGAAAAAACATGGCTGCTCCCGGGAAGCTTATATGGTCACGCGGGCGGTCACGTAAAACCACGGAAAGTGAATTCACACATGCAAATGAAGAAAGGCAGAAAAGGACATAAAAACGCCGATCACTCGTCACTCCAGACAGAATCTTCTGCAATGTTGAAGAAGAATCATGTAAAGGAGAAAGCAGAGGCGCAGGAAGAGATTATTGAGTAAATTGGGGGAGTTTATTGGTCGTTGCAGTTTTACACCAGGCGCACCAAGTGAATAGTATGTTTGTTCAGGAAGTTTGTCAGTCGTCGCAGATTTGCACCCGGTACATTAAGTATCCGACATTGTGATAATAGTAGATCTGCCAAGAAAGGTGAAATGTTATAAGATATAAAAATTTGGATGTCTTTATTTCTGTGATAAGGTATTGTAACTATTTACACTATTTACTTTAATTTAGTCCATGGGGTAGGTTGTTCTTGTTTCATGTGCCATATATCACCTGAAGAAGGATGTAGTGTACAATGGCCTGAATGTTGTAAATATAGCAATAAAGACGAGGACAATAGTTCAAACAATGTAAATAGTGTAAATATATAAAAATTTATATATCATTTTCTTCCATTATAATGAATGTAACAGAAGCATTTTAATGTAATGACAAGCACTTCAAAAATGTTTTTATTTTGTATTTTTTATGATTTTTTTTTTTATGGTGATACATTTAACAAAATGAATTGGAGAAGAGTTTTTTTCCTCACCCTTAAAGTGGAAAAAAAATAACTTCTCTCCAATTCCAGTATCTGCAAACTTAACACCAAATATTGATAGGAAAAACTTATGATTTGTTTTGTTTGTTTTTTTTTTTTAAGTATTTTATTGAAACACAAAAGGAGTCAATTTAACTTTCAATTAATATTTAAACATGAAAAAAAGTCACTTAAAACTAAGCTTAAAAAAAATAAACATTACTTTACAATAAGCAATTAAAAAATCTTGTGTAATCTTTATTGCATTTAATCATAAAATCTGATTCATCACAGTGCAAAAACTTCGCAATCTTGAATCTTCATGCCTGCAAAAACAAAAAAAAAAGCAATGTCAAAGGAACAATTTTTCCCTTGACACTGCTATTATTTTAACTACCTTCACTCCTCAGCAATGTTTAGTGTTTTAAAAAATGATGATTAGGATTATAATAAAACCTAAACACATGATGAAAGTGAATTTATACATTTTCTTTGTTCTTGAGAATTGATAATAAAAATAATAAATGCTATTTATTTATTAGATTGTTTATTTACACTATTATATTTTTTTTATTGGAATGATTGGCAAAACATTTAGCTAATTGCCAATTGATTTGAACTTTATAAAATGATAAATAATAAGAATTTCCTTATCATTGGTTCACATATTTTAATAATTTAGTAAATGTTTATAAATTTATGAATAAAGAATTTTCATATGTATTTCTTTATAAATTGGTAAATGATAAATATTGTATTGCTTTTAGGTTTTATTCCCGTTCTAATCATCTCTTTTTGTCACAGAATGAAGTTAATTAAAATAAATAGTGATGTCAAGGGAAAAAACAGTCTTTTTGACACTTCGTTTTTTGTGGGCATGAAGATTCAAGATTGCCAAATATTTTACATTCACTACTAATGGAGCATTATGTTTTTGTTGTTTTTTTTTCTTTTTCAAGGGAGGTCACTATGATGCGAAAGATTTTTTGCTTTATTATTATTATGGTGGAATGATTTACACGGCACTCAAAAGTTATGATAGAGCTCTCTATTTCTTTGAAGTGGTAAGTTTTTTTAAACTGATTTTATTTTTACAGTTTGATTTACTTGTTAATTTGTTTGAATTTATATTAGCTTGCATTTTTTGCATTTTTAAATAAATTGTTTCTCTTAGAGATTAATAGAATTGCTCATATTTATCTTAGATGAAAGTGTATCAATTGCATACAAAATTATTTTTAAAAGCAATAATTCTATTAAAAAACAAAGTATTAAATATAAAAAAAATATCTTCTAAAAAATGACAGAATTATAGGCACCAACACATATTATTACCTTTGACACACCAGAACCACCACATGAGATAAAAATTGGATATACACTTTCCAAAGTAGAAACATATATTCCAAACCCATTGAGGTGATTCAATTGCCAAAGGTATGAACATGGTAAGAACCAATGCACAAGGATCCAATATGTGGAAAATGTTTGGAAAATGATCCTAATCACACACAGATCACATACCCTAATTGTAATCAAAACCATAGTGCAACTTCCAGGGACTGCAAAACCTGGTAAAAAGAAAAAGACATACTAAAAATTAAACACACCAAAAAAAATCTTTTTCAGAAGCAAGGAAAAAGCATCAAAACAAACTTCAGTACACCATCATATGCAAAAATTACCCAAGCAACATCAAGCTATACCCATGAAAATCTAATATGAAGCAAATTACATGAAAAACAAAAAGAACTAAAATCTCTTAATTCAAGAGTTATAAAACATTAAAACCAATTGTAAGCTTGGAAACCCCTACCAATGAACCCAAGCTAACCACAATGTAAATCCAACACAAAATTCCCTGACAAGATCCTCTCAACTACAAAACAGTCATAACTTCTCAAATGGAAAATTACCCAAATAGGAAACTGACAGAACAAAAATTAGTCAAACCTCAATATAAAACAAAATTGAAATCTAGAAAACAAGAAAGAGAATTAAAAGTATATAAACAGGAGAACAACCCACATAAAGATAATGAGAAAAAAAATGAAAAGAACCTAAATGATCGAGAATTTAGAAATACTCAGTGAAGAACAAGTTCACAAACAAGGAAAACTAACGGTACAGAAAGTATGGAATATATGGAAACAGATAATCAAAAACATAGTCATTCTTAAGATCCACTTATAAAAATAAAAATAATTACCATTCAAAAAAAATGGACAAACAGAATGCAAACATCATACAATGGAACTGTAGAGGTGTTAAATGAAACTCTAATACAAACATATGCAAATGAGTGTTAGAGCAAGAATGCTCGGTCTGGCTGTCAGAACTGACTGCTGTAAACTTCCCTCGCCAAAAGGCAGTACCTACTTCTATTTATAGCTGGGAGAGTCCATGCGTGCATGGGTAAATTACCATAACACTTTGATTCATTGAACAATAACTATATGTTCAATTTATATTCCTCTAAAACACAGACTGAATAAGACTGAAATAGAAAAGCTAATTGAGCAACTTCCCCCTCCATTGCTACTAATGGGAGATTTTAATGCTCTAGAATCATCTAATCTATGTTTTTTTTTTTTTTTTTTCTCCTTGGAATCACCCTAAGCAAGGCAGTAATGCCACAAAAACACAAGGGGGTTACAGGGTGTGGAAGAATTAGGAACAAAAACATTAATGATGAGCAGAAAGAGAAGATAGTAATCAGGTGGACAGTAGATAGTGATTGACATCGCATAAAATAAAGTTGCCTGGAAAGCATGGAGAAGTGCAAGAGAAGAAACTGTTAGCATAGAATTTACTATCTAGCCAGCTCAACTGTAAATTGATGAGAACTCTATGCCAGTCTAGTGCTGCACTTAAATTCAAAAAGAGCTTATTCAAAAAATTACCATGAAAGTACTTATAGAAAAGACATAGAGAGGCAAACTTATGGCAGTGGGAAAGTGACTGGAGCTGAACCACCAGATCAGGACCAGTAATATTGCAGATTCTTCTTTGGATCTTATCAAGGAGCTCAAGGTAAATAGCATGGTTACCATACCATATGTGGCAGCCATAATCTATGCATGAAATAATGGTAGTTATAGATATGTAAGAAAAATTGTCTTACTCTATATAGTGAACCAACTTTCTTAACGGCTGATGTAGCAATGAATTCAATATACTCTTTCCACTATCAGCAGAGAATGTGAGTTTGAGAAGGTGCAGTGAGTCACTTTCTTGTAGGATAGCATCAGCCATACTGATGGAAGGCAGCAAAGATTCTCTCAGATGTATCCTTAAGAAAACCCACACATACCTACACCCAGGTATTGAATTGACATCAGCCATCAACCTAACCATATGCTCCCCATCAATTTTTATGGAGTTTCAATGGAAAGTTCATAATGACCAATGCAGTAGTGACCATTTACTTATTTTCCTAATTATAATCAAGTCTATGCCAGAAGAAAGGAATTCAAAATGGCAACTACACAAAGCTAACTGGCCAAAATTCAATGAACCCTGCTCATCCCAAATCAACATGAAATTCTCAATGAACCAGAACCAATAGTCTCCTTTACAAACAATACCCAAATTTTCCTTTAAATCACATATCAAATCAAAACCCTGTTTCACAGCAGAATACAGAGAAACGGTTAAAATCAAGAAAAAAATGCTAAAGATATTCTTACACAAACTACAAGCTCAAGCAAAAGCATGCCATATAATTAAAAAATCCAAAAGAGAAACTTTGAAAAAGTACATCTCCAAATTAAACTACAAAACCCCAATAAATAAAATATGGGAAATAATAAGGAAAATTAATGAAAAAACATCACAGACTGCAACAGTCCATTTAACTAAAACAAATGGAAATGAATGCACTGGAAAAAAAGAAATAGCTAACTTAAAAGTTACAGAATTTCAAAGAAACTCCTTAACAAATCACTACACTCCCAAATTTCAAAACTATCATACTCAGTATCAAACATGCCTTCCTTGAAAGATATATACAAATATGTCTAAACAAAATAGAAAAATGGACAAATGAAAATGGTTTGTTTCTCCAAAATAAAAACTGTTCTACAAAAATGTGCATCCTATCTCTATCCAGAATTAAAATTAAATGAACACATTTCCCATAGTCCAAAAAACAAAATATCTAGGAATCATATGAGATAGTAAACTTAACTTCAAAGTGAACATTGATTACCTTAAACAAAAATGCCAAAAGATTTTAAAGTTTCTAAAAGTAATATCAAAACTGAACTGGGGTGATGACTGAAAAGTAGTGCTCAGAATATATAGCTCACATATCAGATCAAAACTATACTATGGATGCATTATTTACAGTGTCACATGTAAATCCTATCTTAAAAAAAAATACAAATCAAAAAATCAAAGCCTTCCAGACCTCACCCATGCAAAGTCTCTATATGGAAACCAATGAATCACCAATATATATCTCTGAGATTCATCCCTCCAATATGTACTAAAACTACAATCTATAGCCCAAATAATCCGGCATACCAAAAAACATATTAACCTCAATATATCCAGTTCTATAGAAATAAGCTAACAGTAATCCCCTCATTTGAACTTTGAATCAAAGAAGCACTAGAACAACTAAACAAAGGTATTGATAACAACACCAGTCACAATAAATAAAGTCCCTCTATGGACAATCTCCAAACCTCACACAGACCTTATACTGATACATTAAAAAAAGATACATTCAACAAAAGATAATATGGAGAATTAAGAGATAAATATTGTAACTATAAACCATTCCACACAGATGGATAAAAAAAATCCTAGATAGAATAGATGCAGCAGCCACAAACAGACAAATTCAAAAACAAATCAGGCTATTTAAAATGATAGAAAATTCAAAAAATGATCTACTTGGACAAGTCTTCATCTAGTTTTTTATTAGTTTTTTATTATCCCAGTGTCTTGAGCATTGTACGCTCTGACCTTGTAATTGCTAAAGTTCGTGGAATTTTGAACTGAAAACTTTATTCAATCTCCTGGGATAAATTGTTCTCATTGTACTGTCTGTGGTAGAGGATATTTTTCATCAGTTACTTTATGATGTTGTTTCTCTCTCTCTCTCTTTCACAGAACCAAAGTATATGATATTTTTATATGGTCCAATCTAGGGAAGCAAATCAGTCTATGATAAAGAAATTTTCATTTATTTTCCCATTTCTCTAATTGAACAAACCTTAACTTTTGTGTCCACAACCCCCCCCCCCAAAAAAAGAAACCTGTTAAGAGGATGGTTTTTCCCTTGGCACCACTATTATTTTGTACTGCCTTCACTCCATTTGCAATGTTTATTTACAATATTATAAAAATATGTGAAGCAATTACAATGCAATATTTATTATTTACTATTTTATAAAGAAATAAATGCAAAAAGAAATCTTTTTATTTAAAAAATATTACAAAATTATCAAAATATGTAAACTATCTACAATGCAATGACCATTTTACAAATAAGTATGAAAACGATTTTCTTATTGCTAATTTTATAAAAACATCAAATTGCTGCATGAAAGAAATACCTGGAAAATGAATTTTTTTCAAAATTTTTAATTGTAGTTACTTGTCATTATCTGTTTATTTAAATTTTCTTGTTCAGACATTTTTTTATAAATTTATGAATAAAAAAAAATATTTTCATATTTATTTCTTTATAAATTGATAAATGATAAACATTGCATTGTATTAGTTGGTTTGCATATTTTTATAATGTTGTAAATATAAAATTATTCTTGTAAATAATCTAATAACTAAATGTTTAATATTTTTGTTGTAAATTCTCAGAGAATAAAGAAAATGTATAAATTCACTTTCATATGTTTGGGTTCTATTAAATTTTTAATCATTGCTTTTTAAAACAACAAACATTGCCTTAAAATAATAGCAATGTCAAAAGAAATCATTCTTTTGACACACCATTTTATTGCAGGCATGAAGGCCAAAAATTGTTTATATTATTGAATCGGTATAATTTTTCCTACAGTTTACCAATCTCTGCGTACATTGTATTTCATATTTTTATTATTCTAAACTCACACTAGATTCTCTTATTTCTATTTTCCATTTTACAGGCAATAACCACACCCAGTATGGCTGTTAGTCATATTATGATGGAAGCATATAAGAAATATATATTGGTAGCTCTAATTCTTCATGGAAAAGTAAGGGAAATATTTCTTTAGATTTTTGCTTAATGAATTGGAACTTCATTTTCTCTAAATTCTTTGATAGATTCCATATAAATTTGAAAGTAAAAATCAATTAACATTTATTGCCATTTTCTTTTGTATAATTACAACTGTATTTTCTTTTCCTGTAGATTCCAGCTCTTCCTAAATATACATCACAAGTTGTTGGAAAATATATCAAGGTAAGAATAAGATTTGAAACCACATTTTTGTGGCTCTCAATGTTTTCTTTTGCAACCTTGATGGCACCACTGTTAATTTGTTTTTCTTTCTTTTTTTTAGCCTTTATGCCAGCCATATTATGACTTAGCCACTTCTTATTCAACAAATGATCCTAACGATCTTCGGATGAATGTCAATAAACATTCGGAAGTATTTACCAAGGTAAAAAACATTTTAATGATTTCTGCTGGATTTATCAGTAATTCACTTTTAATAATGTATGTGTTACCATTTACTCAAGTGACTTACAGATATTTTAAAACTATAGCAAGCAATGATTTTATTGAGAAATAGATAAAGAGGTACTGAAAAGTTTTCTGCCTGATTTCATTTTCTAAAACGTTAGAATTTATTTTATTTCCTTTTTCTTTCTGTCTGAAGTTTCTGATTATCTGCATTATTTACAGTCACACTAATGTCAACACCGTTGTTGTTGTTGTTACAACATTTTGACTCCAGCTCTCTTCACTTGTCTGTTGATCTGGGTAATATCCAGAGAATTTCAAACTTTTTTTAATCTTTTCACCCCAAGCAAGACAATAGTACCACTAAGGTTACTGGGAGAGAAAAATGTTAGTTTCTCTTCCTTTCATTAAACCTCTTGAATGGAACTGTTTACTTAGTATATGGGGTTGGACTTTTCTCATTCTTTTGTTCATGTCTAGGGATATCACAGTTCAAAATTTCTCATAGATTACCTGAATCAATAGACAACTGAAGAAGGCCACAAGGTACACTGGTCAAAACATTTTTTTCTTTGTTGGGCTGAGAACTTTTCAGAACACTCTCATACAGTTTAGAATTTTAAAGTGTTGAGCTTGAGTGTTTTTTTTTGTTTTATTTTATTTTATTTTATTTGTATTACCTCATCTATAAAGATGTTGTTCCTAAAGATAATTCTTATATTTTGTATTGTGGACTTTTTGATCTTCTCTTGATGTAGATAGTCTTCTGTAAAGTTTAGTCCAGGTAAGAAGTACATACTGCAATCAGTGTTTTAACTGATATAATATTAATTTGTAGGATAACAACATGGGCCTCGTCAAACAATGTATTATCTCCCTTTACAAGAAAAATATTCAAAGATTAACGAAGGTAAGTGATGCCCTATTTCATTGTGCATAATACGAGAAATTTTGAATGAAAATTAAAGATAACAAAGGTGCATTATACACAACTACATGTGTTCAGAAATTTTAACTTGGCTTAAAAAACTTATTTGAAACAGCAAAATTGCCAAATATACTCAGCATAATAGATAATAAAACAGAAAGTAGGCAGGTGTTGATAACAACAAATTGTTTACAAAAGGTATTTCATATGTTGGCAACATTTGTTTCTCTCTTCATTCTTAATGAAAGACAATATTTTTTTTATTTTTGTAGTTTATTAATATTTAGAAATATAATAAAGTCATATTAAACAAAAGTATGATAGATTAATTAACACCTTAAAATGTATTATCATGTATATCTAGTTAGCACCTTTTCCTGAAAATTTGAAAATAAGTTTTGAAAAGGAAATTAGAAGAAATGGCTAAACATCCGGTTCATTTCTCTATAACATGTTAGTGAAATATACAGGGTTTCCATAAAGTCTCTTTACAATTTAAAAAAAAATTATTACAGAAATATGTGGAAATTGTTATAAAATGAGGAGTATTTAGCTTTTTTTTAACTAACTTAATACACCTCTTTATGAGCACCATTACTTGCACAAAGCACGTCAAGACAGTACTCAATTTTTTGACATGTTCACTGTAGCATAGCCTCATCAATAGTGGCAATGGCATCAGTGATCTTTTGCTTTAGATCAGTAATGTCCCATATCTTTGTTTGATACACAATATCTTTAACATAATCTCCTGGAGTTTTTTCCATGGGGTTATCTGGTGAACAAGGTGGCCAGGGAATTGGGTCATCTCTTCCAGTCCACTGGTCTGGAAATGTTAAGGGTTCATTTAACAATACCTCTTTCATCAACAGAACACATGAAATGCACAAATGCAGTGTGATGAAAAAACTTTGATAGCTACTGAATACATTACTAATGTATTTTTTATGCAATTGCATATTATTGGGTAAATTTCTAGAAGTCTAATTCATTGGTGCAATAGTACATGTTCAAATACATGCTCTTTCTATTTAGATATCTGAAATGTACTATTACTATTTTACGTTCAGACTAATGTCCTCATCTTAATTTTTATCCCAACATTTCAGCCATTGTGCCCTCCAGCCTTCTTCAGATGTCTATCGATCCAAGTAATCTTCATGGAATTTCAAACTGAACCTTTTAATTTAATCTACAGGACTAGATTGTTTTTGTTCTGTTGTCCATGTTTAAGAATATCTCATCCTGCTCTTATGTAGTACATTATTATTTGGCCCTATTTCTACAGTGTCTGTAATAAGCAGCCCAGGAATTTAACTCACAATTACTGTCACCAAATTCACAAACGAATGATTTAATCTGCTCGGATATTGTCCTATAGGAAATTATTTGAAATCTTTCCTGTCAGTCTCAGGCAATCATGGTACTGCGCTCTGAATGATGTTTCATTTGCAGTATCCATCATGCCTTGACAGGTCTATTTGAGAATGCCAGTTCTTTCCACTGTAGCAAAGTTAGATGCTGGTCTGTCAGACTTTGGCCTTTCCTTCTTTGTCTTTTCACCTCTGTTGGGCAAATATCACTTTAAATTTGAAGGTTTTCTGTTTTTTCTCCCCACAATGCCTGCCTCCATGATGGCCATTCAAAGACTACAGCTTCCCTTGTATTTGAGTTGACACAGGTTTCTTTTACAGGAATTTTTTAGTGTAGTTGTTGTCTGCCTAGAGAGTGCTTTCCCTGAGTCAAATCTCCATATAGGAAGTCCCTGGGTATTTGTCTGTTCACATGACTTGTCCAAGCATCTTTGCTTTAAGAGGTTGTACATGCTGGGAATCCCAGCCATTTAGAGGATAGTGTTGCTGGGGATGTTGTCTTAACTAAGAAATATTCACAATGTCAATAAAGAGGCATTAAATAAAACAAATTATTGATATATCTGTTGGCTTATGGCTACATCACATTGAAACACCAGTTTCCATACAATCACCAAAGTTAAGCAATGTCAACCTAGATGAGTGACTGCTTGGGAATACCAAGTGGTGTAAACTTGGATGTGTGGTCAGTGTAATGGATAATGACCAAAAATTGTTAATTGGTGAGCTGAGTTCTAATTCCTGTTAGGTTTGTTATGAATCTACCTCTTCTTCCCCCAGCTATGGGTTAATTAGTAAGAATTGTATCACGAAACCATTATTATCTACCTCCCCAATTCTTATAATGTAAAAATATTTTCTGGCTTTAAATAACCTGAAAAGTGTTGATAAGCTGTTGAAAATGAATGAATGGATCAGTCAATTGATATATCAAATATTAAATTTTCTTTAAAAGCAAAAACATCAATCCTTTAATTTTGGTTGTTACCAGTAAAAGTTACCTGAAAATGTATGACTGTACAATTTAAAAAAAAAATAACACCTGCATAAGTTTAAAGATAATCCTGATGCTGTAGTTAAATTTCTAAGCATTCTGCTATCAGTATAAAAAAAATCTTTTTATAAATTTAGAACTGCAGCTCGGAAATTATGCTTCTATAAAGAGTTTATTTATCTGTATAAATTAAGACTATAGTAGAATACAAAACCAACAGAACAAATCTTCATTTTAATGTTTTTTTGATTCACTTTAGCATTTACAACTCTGATGTTAATTAATCCTGAAGGAAAGTAGTAAGTTAAATTCAATGTAATTCATTGAATCGATCCATAAGAAAAGAACTGGATTTAGTGTTCAAGGCACAACAAGAGATGACTAAAACATCTATTGTGATAGAAGAAATTCAAAATTTTAATAAAAGCTGCATTATTACAGCTATCAGTCACTTGAAATCAGGTACTTGAACTGAAAAATGTAAAATGTCAAAGAAAGATGCAATGTCCTCCAGACATGAAAACAAAACTGATAACTTTCTAGAAAAGGGCAATTTATAACCTACATTTGCAAAATTCAAATGTTAAATACTATGACTGAGATTCCTTCATTATTGGGAAAGTAAAGCATTTAAAACATTCTCATTGGTCAGGGTAAATTTTCATGAAGCATTTTTGTCTGGAGAAATACAAGCAAAAACTTTCTAAAGTTTTCCTTGAAGTTATTAGCAATTACTGTGAGGAAGTGAATAAAAATCCCTCCATTAATGTAGAATTTTCTCAAGAAATTTCCAGAAAATCTTTTGAACTGAAATATTGTTTGGTGTCACTACAGATTGGCTAATCATATCAAATTGGGTGCATTATTTAATTGACCAGTAACTTTTGTTAAAAATGGTACATATTCTAGATCTGACAGTTCTATACAAAGCCAATATCTAGTTAACTTATAAGCAAAAATTGTGGTGGTGGTGGTGGTGGTGGGGGGAATATGAAAATTTAAAATAGAAAATTGAATAGTTGGCAGTATAATGTGCTTCCCCATCAAAGTTGGATGCTGTTGTTACAAAGCTCTCTTGAAATATCTGAAATCTTTTGATGTTAGGGAGCTCCCTTGGAATATCTGAAGTCATTCAAATGAAAAAAAAAAAAGGTATTAATGTTTTAAAGTTCCAAAATGGGAATAAGGTAAACCTGGTTTTATTATGACACTTATATTTTAAGTTGCATACTTGAAAGGCAACAAGGTCTGATGTGAGAAACTATTGGGCTTCCTGGTAAATGATGTTCCAGTTGTGAAGACATGATGAAAACTTAGGAGCTTTGTTGCAGTTGAATTTTAGCATAGACTTTAAAGACTTTGAAACAGCAAGATGTGTCTGGTCTATACAAGTGATTAAAAAAAAAAAAAAAAAAAAAAATATTTGCTCTTTCTCAATGTAAAAGTGTGACATTAATTTACCTGAATCCTGTACCTGAAGAACATTTTACTTCCAATGATGGCATGATATTTCCCTTTATTTATTGGCTCAGATTCCAAGTTGTTTCGATGTATTTCTCTTGTAATCATTTCCTAATATTTCTGAATGTAATAACTTTCTTACTTTTCATTTATTCTGTTGCATAAATTAAAACAAACTGTGATTTTTCTTTGACAGACCTTCTTGACATTATCCCTAGCAGATATGGCTGGTCGAGTGCAATTACCTAGTCCTTCTGAAGCAGAAAAATACGTCTTACGTATGGTATATATTTTCTTTTTCTTAAACCTTTTTTTCTTTTTCTAATTTATAATTTTTGACATTGCATGCACATGTGTTGTAGATTGAAATGCTGGTCATTGCAGATAAGAATAGATATTTTTGTAGGTATTGCAAAACCATATTCTAATCTGACTAATCTGTGTGGAAAAAGAAATTTAATAAACTTATACAAATTTACAAAGTTTTTACTATTTTTATTGTATTGGGATGGTGGCATGAAAAGTTTAAATATTTCATGGGAATACGTGAAGTGCATTTTGTCATGTGAGAAATATTAAATTTCAGATTGAAGATGGTGAAATATTTGCTACAATCAACCAGAAAGATGGAATGGTCGAATTCCACGACAATCCGGAGAAATATAACAGTGCACATATGTTACTTCAGTTGAACACTGAGGTAAGTTCCTTGCAACATTGTTATTATCAGGGGATTTTTCTATTTATGTTTGAAATTCAGTGTGTCTGTTGGGTTTTTAGAAGCGACAAGAAACTGTCCTTTGTCAAAATTGGATTAGGTTTTAACCAAAACTTTAGTTGACAATATTTTTTGTTTATATTAATTTGTAATAGGAGTTGAGGTTTAGTTTCTGCTTTTGAGAAATGTCATGAAAACAATCATTGTAGATCAGACACATTGAAAAAAAATGTTGGCCATGGAATTTATTGAAAAAACAAACAAACCCTTAATTGTTTGTCATATTACATTAAAAATAGTTGTTTGCATTGTCTAGTGATTATTGGTACAGTACATTCAAATTTAGGTTGCGGTCATTGTGTACACTTTTGTACAAATACCCTTGGGAAAGGGATGAATCTATCTCCCCTCCCACAAGCTAAGGGTTAAATAGCTGGACTCTCTAGCCTTGGTTGATAACCAGTCTAAGAGAAGGAGAACTTTGAATTCAAAATCTGCAATGGCTAAAACTAGCACAAGGATTGCCTGCCTAGCTAGCAGAGTGGTGACACTTAATGGTTAAAACAGCTAAACCACTATCACCAGCAGAGCCAAATTGGCACCCAATTATCTGGTCAGTCAAAATGACATAAAATGTTAAGCAGACTTGAATGTTGTTATTAATGTCTGATTAACAAGTTTTATATATAGTACTTGATTTCTTTCTGTATATTAAATTATGATGTTGGTTTTTCAGCAATTTTATTAGTATACTGAGCCTACCATCAAGCAATGTTTAGCACACTTGTCTGTCATTTTGAAATTTTGTTCCTATTTCTAAGATAGGATTTTGTAGTAAATTTAATGAGAAAATTACTAAATCTGTCTTCATAGGTTTAAAAATAAAATGAAAAAGTACCCCTCCCCCCCAAAAAAAAATAAACAACATGTGATACAAAACTTAATTTACAGCATGAAGATTCTTGAATCACTTTTTATTTCTAGATGCCAACTGCCTCATAAGCAAAAAGATTTTCTTTATTCACTAAAACTACTTGGTATTACATAACTTGACCTACTGTCTGTCTCTCGTTTGCCTTTTTATCAGATTAGAATTTTTTTGCAACACACTAACATGTGTTGAAATCCTCACTGTATTTAGTAGTATTGAAGTTATTGCTTGCTCTGCTCATTTGAAACTCTCCCTACTGGGTTTATATTTACAGTTCTACTACTGTGGATTATATTTTCCCAGAATTAAATACATGAAACTTAAAGAAAAGATAAGCAAACGAAACAATATTTCATTTTTATTAAATAAGTATTTTGTATTTCAAACATTAAATTGTTTTTAAAATAGTGTGAGTAGTTTGTATGTTAAATAATAAAACTTTTAATTTAAAAAAGAAATATTCTACTAAGATACACACCCTAGTAAAACCAACTGTACTTTGTACCCCCTTACCTGATGCACTTCTCCCCCAAATTTGGTTTTGGTTGCTCAATGTATGTCTATTTTAGAGGCTGTAACTGATGGACTAATGGAAGCCACAGAACTTTATAGATAGATGACATCTGAAGACTACTCTTACAACGTTTTACCTCGTTTATATTTGTAATTTTTTTTTAGTGTTTAATATTTTAAACTTATCAATGATCCTCTTTGGTAAGGGTGGATTGAAAAGCTGGATACTTAAGAGGACTTTATACCACCTTTTTTCTTTTTATCAATAGTAATTTTCAACATGTCTCCACTTCATCATGCTATACTGAAGATATCCCAAATAGAAACCCCACCATGTAACAATGCATAAAACTCAAAGGATAAGATCAACTGAATTTTTGACAAATGAAATTTCATTCTGCAGTTTTAGAAACGATGTTGACTAATAATTCAAATGTTTTTCTTTGGAAGTTTCTTTTTCTCTTAATCTTTCTGACTCCTTGATTTTGCTGTTTGTCTTCAGATGCAAAAATGCATTGCCCTTGATGAAAAGTTGCAGGAAATGGATCGAGATATAACAGTAAATTCCCAATATGTCCAAAAGGTAGGTACCCCCCCTTTTTTTCTTCTTTTTTTCTCTTTTTTTTCTTTTTTTCTTCTTTTTTTTCCTTTTAGTTTTAGGACTTCTTTCAGCAAGTACATTCCAATAATAGATTTGATATTTGAACAAATAGGAAACAAAAAATGCAAAATGTTTATCCTTTTATTGTTATTTTTATTATCCATATACCAAAAAGAAAATCTGGTTTGGAATAATAATTTTTGACTATTTGTAGTAACAAGAAGTTGTGCAGATATTGTGTGGGTTTCGATGTATCAGTTTTATATTAGTGTATTTTGTTTTTTACTTGAAATGTTAAAGAGAACTTTAATTATAAATTCACACCATTTCTTGACATGATGACATTTGTTTTCTTTCTATTATAGCAATAAGGTTAAAATCTGTTTCCATTTTAGTATATAAGATGGATGGATGTTTTAATTAAACTGCCCAAGTCCGATGGATGTAATTTTATCCTAAGTTAAGCAATCTTAATGTTTTATATTGTTTGAGGACACAAGTTGCACCCATGGGAAGTTTGTTGTAAAGAAATAGATTGGAACACAAAAAGCATAAAGTAGGTACCTCCACATAAATGCGGTACCAAACATTTAAAATGAATTTTTGATAATGAAAAATTTTTCTTGAAGCTTTTATTTTAGTTTTAATTTCAAGCCGAGAGAGTAAATTTAATATTTTCAATAAACAAAATACTATGCTTTATTTCAAAACTAATTTAAATTGATTAGAAGGAGTTTTTGTTTTGAAATTTCTAAAATCTTTGAATTTATTGTCAATTTTAGCAAACTGCTATAAAAATGTAAATCTCTTTATTAAAAAATTTTCCAAAAATAAAATATACTTTAATGAAACTTACAAAAAGATGTTAATCAAAATTTCAAATGTTCTAAAAAGGAGTAAAAAATTTAACTAAATAATCAAAAAATACTTTGATCTTTAGTCTTAATAATAACAAAGATTTTGATGATATCAACCTGATATGGGGATTTTTTTTTTTTTTAATTTTTTTTTTTAAGTGATTTTTCTGGAAGTACCTAGCATAAATTAATTAAGAATTACTGTAACTAAGTGAAAAGTTTTTGTTGGATTTATACTTTTGCTTTTAGTGTTGGTTTCAAAAATATGGCAAGAGATAAGTCTGGGAAAACTGTGCTCAACCTGAAACCCAATATGCCATGTGTTTTTTTTTAATTTATTTTTTTTGTTGTTGATTGCACTGATAAACCATTTCTTTATAATTTTTGGTATTTATCAAGTGCCTTTAAAGTATAGTGCATTGCTTAGCATCTTTGGGCTACCAATGTGATTAGTCATTGTTAGAAATAGTAAAGTTGAATCCCTTTTTTTTTTTTTTTTTTTTTAAACTGAGCCTAGACATGATGAGCAGGTTCTCAAGTCTTTATTTCATGCTTAAAATATAAATATATAAACGAGTTAGAAATTTCAGTTATTTTCCGTAAAGTTTCACTAATTCCAAAACTAGGTCAGGTACCAACGTCAAACTTTGTAAGTCTTAACCCTCTAACATTCAACACACTCAAACCTGCCCTGTAAATATTGGCTCTCAAGTTCTCACTGTTTGTGTGACTTGCTGCATTATTTGCGATGATGTCATCATATATTATGACAGAATGTACATGAGCTGATATTTATGGAGCAAGATTGAATGCTAATAAAACTTACTATAGCATATTTCTGACAAATTTTAAAAATATTCTGTTTACTGTTTAAAGTGCAAAGAGCAGGGATTTATTGCAAAACAAATTTTTTTTTCAAAATTTGAGAAGGGTGAAAGTTTACTTTAAAATAAAATTATCTCAAAAAATCTGAGTTTTTTTGTTTTTTTTTGTTTTACTTTGTGCATAAAAATGCTTAAGTTTTTGACTAATCCAAGGAGCCTCTTGTTATGTTTATTACAAACATGGCAAGAATCGTCCGATTAGTCAGCTAATGAAAAACAAACAAACCCTAAATAGTGTATGAGGTGTTGCTAGTGTAATCAGTCATAATATCCACATTATTTTCTTTCTTTCTCACTCATTAGTGCAAAAGCTGCCTCAGTCTTAAAGTCAGTCATTACTGTAGTCTGTTTCATGAAAGTGTGATACTTTGCAATCTGCTTGACCTATTTTTGCATTCATATCACCACCTATCACTATGAGCTTGATAGATGACTATAGAAGTTTATTGCTGAGAGGTTAGTTTATTGCTAGATTCTCAAGGATATATTTAAATCCCCTGTTTCTGTGAATTTCCCAACTGTCATTGAACTTGTCAATTAGATATTTGACTTGTCCTAAATATTGTTTGTTCATGTCTGCAGTTTGAGCCCTGAATACCACTTGGCTATCATCCAGCCTCAGTTCTTTGCTTCTTCTTTACTCACAACAGGGCTTCACTTTCTGGGCCTTGTTTTCCCTCATTTTTCTATCTACCCATGGTTTACCAAGACTTTTGCTAAGTGCTATTACAGATTGAACCTGTGCATTGTTAAGTGGCAGTTGGGTTGGAGCTTTAGTCACTCATGATGGATGTGTGGCTGGTGTAAAGGATAGAAGCTCAGGATGAGAAATTGGAGAGCTGATTTCGAATTCAAGTCAGGTTTGTTGCATTCAATTATGCACAAATACATCTCCTACCCCCAGCTATGGGTTAAATAATAGAACTTGTATCTGGGAAAAACCATAGTTATTCTCAAAAAAAATGTTAATGCAATATTCCCTGACAAAAAATAAAATGATTCTTACAATCCAAAATATTTTTTGGCATTAAATAACCCACAAAGGGCTGATAAACTATAAAAAACAAAACAATAGTCTCTCGTGTCTTGGTGAGTTGAGTATTCAAGTAATCTTGGATTTTGGATGTTTTTTTGTGCCCTTATATTGTGCTGATCTGTCTGTTTTACTGTGATATGGTAATTGTGTTTGTGTGTTGAGCAAAAAGAGATTAGTTGAAGAATTAATATTCTTTTGCAAAAGGAAAATTGGCATTTTGTTCTGTGCTACTTGTAAGCTGTGATGATGTGGACTTCAGTCAATTTGAAGTCTCACTAACTATATATTTGATAACTGAAAATGTTATAGCATCCAAATCATCACTTGTACTGCCCAACCACCTCCAAAATGATTACTTGTACTCCCCCACAACCATGTCAACAAAAAGATCTGAACTAATCTGATAAGGAATTGGAACAAGTCATCACAGTCCCTATTGTTACCATCTTTGTTTCAAAGAGTTGATAAATAGGATCCTTTTCTGGACATGAATTCTTTTCTATCCAAATTCTTCTCCCAAATAACATGCACTGTTTGGAATTTCAGTTTGACAAGGGGAAAATATTATTTGGCTTCATCTCTCAACCTAGCCAAAAAATATCCCTGTTTCCAAAATTTCTGTTTCATAAACTGCCTCTACACTTTTTCTGGATATTTAAACCTTTTCCTTTCCTGTTAAAAAAATACATTTCCTTGTAATTTAGGCAATCATTTTATTTTATTTTTTTTATGAAAAGAACCATTTTTATTCCTTTTTAATAAAATGTATTTATCCTGCATTTAGAATGTAAAATAATGTAATCAGATATTTGGCCGTAGTGTTTTGGTAGCCATCTTGTAACACTGAATCTTATCCGGTTAAATCATGGTTCAAATCTCCATGTCACATTAGTTCTCAATTTTTTTTTTCTACAGATTTTATTAATACACTGAACCTGTTGAGAAAAAGTTTCTCAGTATGATGGGAGTTTTTCAACTAATAAAATAAGCATGTTGCTTCAAATAAACATTCTGTCAGGAATTTTTATGTAAGGTTAATAAATTTTTATTACTTCAAATGTTATTTTTTTAGTGGATACTTGTATTTGAAATAGACGCCCTGCATTTTTTTTTAAAACTGTGCATTACAGCTATTGGCCTGTACACTTGAGAAAACTTAATAAAGAAAATATGCTCTCCAGCTAGGTTTGAACCTGTGTCCCCCTTTGTAGGAGAAACCATTGTCTGACCCGGCATGCTTTAGACTTGCTAGACCAGAGAGTGTCACAGCCCAGCAAGTTTCTATTTATCCCTTTTAAAGAATGCACATCCCCTTAAGATTTTCTCAAAAGCCTATATCTGCTCGATTTTGTATCCAAAATGTAAACAAATAATGTAGAAATTGTTAAGTAAAGCAAAATAGTGCTGCTCCCTGAGAAAATTATTTAATAATTACTGAGCCAGGAGGAAATAATTTACTTGTACTAGCCGGCACTTGTATTTGGTATTGAAAAGTACCTACCATCCACAAAGCACGTTGTCTATCATTTTGCTCATAAATTTCTTCCTCATCAGGTACTTCATGAATTTGTGTGCCAAAATTAGTTGAAGAAATACTCAATAATAGTAACTAATTATTGCAGAGGCATATTTTGTATGATTTTTGTTAATACCAAAATTTGACCGAAAGTCTTTTTCTTTTGTTTTTTTGCTTAAAATATGTTTTTTGTTAACGTGCAATATTTAAAATATATAAATTGTTTTTCTCTGTCGTCACCATTTTCTGTACTTGTTTCACCAAAGTCTTCCACTTTTACTTTCCAGTGTACTGGCTTACATGAAGAAGAAATTCCTGGTTCCTCTAATATCAAAGGACAAGGCTACTAGAAAAAAAAGCTGACAATTCTCATCTCTCCCTTCCTTCGCTTTTCATTGAAAAGATGGGCATTTTTTTTTTTTTTTTTTTTTTTTACCTTTCTGCATTGGACATTATTGTTTACTCAGACTGTTAATAAAGCAGCCATTTGTGTTCAAGAACAATAAAATGCTTTCTGTTTTTATGAATCTGGGTTTTGTTTTCATATTGTGGTATAATTTTTTTTTGTTAACATTAGGTCTTTGATGACCACAGAATTTCCTAAAATGATTTTTGTTGTAAAGTATGAAAAAATTTAGATTTTAATAATAAAAAGAAAGTCTTGGAGGAAATGGTTTGAAGAAATGAAAAATGTTTCTATAGAAGTAAAATGGTAAAACTGATTTGTATTGATTGATTGATTAATCATAAACACTTGAGAGGTTGTCCAGACTGAGTGGAGTGGGATTCCAATGTCTTATTTCAAACTTAGTTAAATTGTGTGTGTGTATGTGTATATATATATATATATATATATATATATATATATATATATAAAAATAAATTTTTAATAATGCAGAGTGAGGGTCATATTTGCTTAGAAATAATTATCTTTTCAGGAACTGGGTTACTTGATTTTATTATTTTAACTTGTATACAATTAATGTTATCTCAGCTCTGCAAAAAAGGCACATTTACAGATTCTTGTGGTTTGAGAAAATTCTGTAGTCATTAGGTCCATTCTTCGATACACATTTGCCAGCCAGAAATTATGGAGTGAATTCTGAAGGTGTCAGTGAAATACCTGATCAAAAAAAAAAAATGATTTTGGGGAAAATGTCCAACCATCTCTATAGGTATCAACTAAAAACACATCAAATTGTTATTAAATTAACAATCCTGCACCAACCACACCACTTTAAACAAGTAATCACGTCATGCACAATGTCACCTCTGGCTGCCACGTAAATTAGTCTGGCAATTGCATCAAATTCAAATACTCACTTGTAATTTTGACTGGGTTAAAAAAGGGGTCCTTGACCATGAGTTACTGGAAAATTGGTGTATCTGTGCTAACAAATGTTCATTAATGACTATGTCTATTGAGATGAAAAGTTCTCAGCCCGACCAAGGCAAATATTCACCCACTGCTCCTCACACTTGGCTTGATTTGATCATTTGATTTTGAGACGTTTCCAGCATAGAATTTCAAATTTTCGTTGATCTTGGCAATATTGTTTCCTTGCATTGATTTTATCCACAATGCATCACTAAATTCTTTTCACCATTTCCTTGAGCACAAGCTGTCATTATATACCAAGGATTTTGAAATGGCAGATGATGAACCATATATCAAATCTGTTGGTGGACTTCCTTTTCTCATCACAATCAATATAAAAAGTCAATAAGTTTTATTTATCAGGTATGAACTATGTATCCTTTGGATAAAACATGGTTAATGTTTATCATTAGCAAAAAATTAAGAATTTAAGATTTGAATGGGGCGTTTTTTGTTGCTGAAATAAAGAATGGTTGAAAGGAGGCAGAGTGAAGACATACATTTTGCACTGTGGTCACCACCTCCTTTCATAGTGACATTCAAAGCAGAATAATGCAATGTTTCTTTTTGAGATTACCCCGTCCATCCTCTAAGAAGTGGATTTGTTTTTGAAGTTACCTTGTTCTAAACTCTGAATTCAGTTTCCTTCTCCTAGACTGGTTGCCATCCAAGGCTATAAGACCCAGGCTGTTACCCATAGCTGAGGGGGAGAAGAGATGGATTTATACCTGATGGACATTAGCACGTAAGTGAATGTAACGAACTTGACTGGTATTTGAATTCGGATCTCCAATTACTAAGTCAGTGCCGCTAACCATTACTCCACTTTGCCTCCTTAAAGCCAAAGGTTACATTATTTAATTTTTATTCTTCATTTGAAATTAGTGATTCCTTACCTGTGAATAAAACGTGACCGTTAAGAACGTATTTTTCAGGAAAAAGTTATATTCACATGGTACAAGGCCGAAAGTATGGGGCACCTAGTGAGGATCGAACTCCCTATTCAGTCGTAATTGCTCGAGCTAGACAAGCTTGCTAACAATTAGACAACATTGAGGTATCCAAAAGTTATTTTCACATGATTCGTTAATAAACACGCTTCTTTGTAAATAAAATATGTTATTAACCATTGCCGGTAAATAAATCATTTTGCCTAATTTCGTTGGGTATGAGATTTTGATTTTGATTTCTATGATTCTGTAATTCTGGATCAATTTCCATGGTGACAGGGTTAGGGTTTTTATCACTTGAAACGCCCAAGAGCATGTACACAAATTGAGGGTTTAAGGATGATCGAATTTTTACTACCAGGGATGCGTCGTAATCCTATAATACCAGAGTAATAGAGATATTCACAAAGATTAGCTTAAGCCGGCGTCAGAAAGATTTTGCGGTCCTAACGTTTGAAGTGAAAGCACCTTGAAAATCGGGATTCGGCAGCCAGCCTTTAAACATCAGCTAGAACACTGAACATGATGCATTCTAAAGTATCTCAACTAGAGTTTCCCGACTTTTTCTGTGTCATCGCCCACTTTCACATGGAAATTTTTTCCACCGTTCACCTGTATGATAAATACTTTATAAAAAAAACGTACTGTGATGGATAAATTGTTTTGACCGATTCTTTTCCTGTCTTGATAAATTCGAGTTGGCCAATGTGATGAAAAAAAGCAAAAACAATTTAAATTAAATAAAATTTATCCTGAAGTAAATTCTTAATTTTACTGGCGAAGTTGTTCTTGGTCTTCCCTTATCTGATTTATATCCGAAAAAAAATGTTATTTTGTCTGAAGAACTATTTGACTGTTAATGACCCTTCTCAAAACTATAGAAAAATGCCAAAATATTCCTTGTATGCAGGGGATATTTATATCTTATCTATCAATGTGACTCGGTTATTCCCATTTAGCCCCCTCTCTCTTCTTCTTTTTTTAAAAAAGTACAGATTCTTTACATATATACTTGAATATATTTTGTGGGGAGTAGCCTATGTTGAAATAACTTTTCAATGTTCAAAATCCGATTTCACCCACCAAAATTTCCACTCACTCACTATTTTCTGTTCAGTTACCCATCGCTACACAACTGTTGAAATCGCGTCACACTAGAAATCGTTTCCACCTTGTCATATATTTTCCTAAAATAATGGCTTACGAAGGTCGAAAACGCATCGGGGTGTTTATATTCAATTTCTTCCTGGAAACCAGGAAATAAATGATCGGAACCGTAGAAAAATGAAATAAAAGACATCTTAAAGAAAGAACTTTGGTTGAAGATCAACCAAACTTGCATAAGAGAAAAGGATATATAAATTTTTATATACCAGATTTTGATAACATCTTGCCATTCTTGATAGATCTTCGATTATCACAACGTGGGAGTATCACAAAAGTGATAAAAACAAAGAAGCTAAATAAAATTGGCCAGACGATATACACAAACAAATAAAAAAAAAAAATAAGTTTAAAATTTCATCATCCCCACTCCTTCGTGCGCATGTGCAGTTTTAGTCCGATGAAGTCTTAAAGGACGAATCGCATCACACGAAAAAATTGTTTAAAATTTGCTGTTTGTATCACTTCAGACATTCAGCATACAACGTTGATTTCTGTGGCCATGCTCTCTCTCTCTCTCTCTCTCTCTCTCTCTATATATATATATATATATATGGTTAATACAAATATAAAATTTGTCACTTAGCTGATTGATGTCATATTCAGCACCTCTATTTCAGAGTTTCGTAGACGAACCTTTGCGTAATTGTCACATTGCACGTGGCATGGTGAGTCTTAGCTGAAGAGGTCAGGACTGGTTGAGGTAAAGAATCTAACTCGTCAGAACATTTGCCATGGGGAATAACGATAGAGTAGCAAGAGTTGCAACATCTCGTCTGTAGGATAAGCTGTCTATCGAAGTCAAAAGAGTGTCCCACAAGAGGGAATTGCGGTAGAAGAAACTATCAGCATAGAACATACGGCTATATTTACCAGTTTCAACAGTAAAATAATGAGACCTAGCAGCCAATCTAGTACTACGTTCAGGAAATTCATGAAATCGAGGTGCCAAAGAGTAAAGCTCATCGGAACTATTACCAAAATAATTTAAAAGGGGAGGAAAAGAAAAGTAAGTCATAAGACGAGCCAATATAATAACTCAGATTTTTTATTTTATTAATGTATATATATTTAATGTTTTGAACTTTTTTTTTCTTCTTAAAAAAACAACACCCCGTCTTGGCCTCGTGTAGGAAAATCAGTACAACCAGGCATACCCGATTTATAACATCAAAAAGCCCAAGTTTTTGTAAATTTGATTAGTTGCCGTTTTCTGGGGGAATTTATATAAAGCACGCCCTAAAGCTAGTAGCAAATTTCCTCTGGGTGCGGGATGAATACTGATCATAGTCGGTCAGGTCGCCCATCGAGAGAAGTCTGTTATTTATTTAGACCCGAAACTTCTAGTGACATGTGAGTAATAACACTGATGATGCACCTAGAGTTGGTACTTAAAGGTGTTATTTTAGCAATCAATGAAAACATTTATAGAAAAGGCATAGTGAAGTTACGTCACGGCGATGGGAAAGTGACTGAAGCCGAGATGCCCAGTCAGGAGTAATAACATTTCTGATTCTTTGGATTTTGTTAAGAATCTCTAAATATATCACAGAAGCACCAGACCAGATGTGATAATAATATTCAGTGCATAGACTTTTAAAGTTGCAAGACAGATTCAAATTATAAGAATTGTCTAGCACGACATCGCAAACCAACGTTCCTGGCAGCAGACTTAACACTTGATTCAATATAATCGTTTTACTTCATCTCAGCGGAAAATGTGGGACCAAGCAATGAGTTGCTCTCCTCGAGGTTAGCATCAGTCATGCTGATGAAAGGCAAAAAAAGATTCTCTAAATGTATTATGACAGAGCAGTCATTTCTTACTTCACTTAACAACTTATTGAAGTTCATAGGA